ACGCCATGCCTGACTCTGCCTCGAAGCTTCTTGGTGTAGCTCTACCACAACGTGGCCTTCCAGATGCAGCGCCAACCAATGGCGTCCACCATAGCCAGGTAAGTACCTCTGGCGCTTCCCCTTCCTCCTGCTCTTTTCCCTCCTCCTCCAACCCGAGCTCCTCCACCACAGCCAAGATGGGGAGCTGGGCGTTCCTTCTTCCCCAGCAGCGGTGCTCCAGCCAGCGCTCCAGCAGTGAGTCGCCAAACTTGCACCCGCAGAATGAGGAGCTCTTTGCTCCTCCTGGAGATATGTCGGCCCACTTGCCTCCTGGGCGGTGACTTCCAGGTCACTCGGCCTCCCAAGCAACCGGTACCTCCTCCTTTTTGGAGGGAAAATCATTGCAGACTTTGATATTGCCCGTACAGGCCCTAGACTCAGGCTACTTGGACTGGTACCTACCTAGACCTAGCCTACACTACTGGGCCTCTAGAAATGCCAACTTTTGTCTTCTTCTGCTCGGCCTACTTGGTGTGGTACTGGCCCCGACACATCAACCACTACTTGGTGTGGTACTGGCCTACCTGCTACTGGAGTGTTTTTCCCCGCTGCTCGAGGTGTTGCGGGCCTATTCCCGCCACTTGAGTGTTTTCCCCGCTGCAACCCTCAATGGCACGGCCACAGTTAAGTATTGGCCTTACGGGGCTCCCAAGCAAGCAAGTACCCTTGCGGGTCACACACACTCAACTCGTCAAGCACTCAGTCAGGCACGCATACCAGCAAGCATCCACACACACGGAAAACTCAGCAGAAAGTGGAATCTCAGTAAGGCATGCATTCCAGACGCAAAAACTCTGAAATCAGCTTTGTTCTCAGTCCGTGTTTGGGCAGGTCCTTACAAACAACTCTTTTGGCACATAGAACTGCCTTAGGCCAGGGGAACTGGATTATATAATAATTGTCTCGTCCGTCATGGGCCACTGATGGCCCGCCATTCGTTGCTCTGCTCTCCACCCCGTTGCCACTGTTTTGACCAATCTATTCTCCTGAATCACATGGGTTACAGGACAGCACAAGTTGTCCAAGAACTGGTGCCAACTAGATTATCGAGCCTTCTGGTGGCTGTAGCAGTGTCCCAGGAGTGTTGAGGAAGCTCGAGAGATTCCTCTGAAGACGAAGCAGAATTGAACATGAAAGAGAATTGACAACTGCAGCTATATAACTAATGTCAAAATTGAGTAGTACGCTCCCCCCCCCCCGGGGCCCCAACGCACACACACACACGCACACACACACACGCACACACACACACGCACACACACCCACCCACACACTTGGAAGGCTCGTCTTGCAGGGTCCCCATCACACAGCCCCTTGTGCAGGCAGTCCATCCACCTGCACCATCTCGGACCAGCACGAGTTGGGTGGCACAGAAGATGGCCGGCCTTTGTGGCCCAAGCCATCGCTGATCGAAGAGCATTTAAAATTACAGACCATCTAGAATGTAAAGGGAAACCGAATGGTTGACTCGGCCCGTTCATCAAAGATAATGGGGATGTCTCGCCAGTACTGTGTGATCCTGATCGCATCCCCATTGGCAATTTTCACCTGCGGTGAGATTCTGCATCTTCATTCAGAAATGCAGCCTGTGGATCACCTTTTGGAAGAGAGGGTTTTTTTGTGAGGAGCTGTTGTCCATAATCATCTTGACCACTTTCCTGTGAAGGATGGTGTTGGTCAGGATCACTTGCCCTCCCTTTCCGAATCCGCGATCAGTTCCCCTGGAATTGTGGCCTTTCTGACTGCAGCCTGCAAGCACATCATTTTATCAGCCCCTCTGTGCTGTGCAGCTTCTCCTGGCAGTGGGACAATGCACAAGAAAGCATTCTGTCGACCACCGCTCAAATCTTTTTTGTCGTCATTGCTGCCGCATTGTCCTCCCTCTGGTTCCTTCTCTTCCGGTGCTGGAAGTTCTGAGTGGAAGAATTTGGCGTCTTGCTGTCTGCAGAATTCTTCTCCCCAAACTTTGAGGCTTGGACTGCACCAGCCACTGGGATTGCTCTTTTACTGACTCTGACCTCGTCGACTATAGCAGCTCACTTTGCACACTGCCCATTCCCCATTCTTCTTATCCATACCTCCCTGCCGATCCCAGTCTCAGCCAGGCCTTTCTTCGTTGGCCGCCTTCTGAGAACTACCGACCACACTGGTAAAATCGTTTTCTTCCCCTGTTGGTGCCTGTGCTTTGTCCCTTCGCTCTTCACTGCGTTGTGGATGGCGGCCAAAGTTTACTTTCTTTTTTGCTCTGCCCGAGCGCACCTCTTCCCCGTCTTGCCATCTGTCGGAAAGGTTGTCAGCTTGTCACGCTTCTGATCTTGGCTGCTGTAGTCGCTGAAAAATGCCGGCTACTGCCTGGCAGCGGCGCTCGCCTTTGTCCTGCAATTACTCTTTTGCTGTACACAGGGATGAATCCCTTTGCATGCTTGCTGCTACTGGCTTTCCTGGTTGCGTTGCCCCCACTGGCTGTAGTGCTGAACTTTAACTTCAAGACCTCTTCAGCATCCGACGGCTGCACTTCTTTTCCCTGCTGGGGGCCCAGGTTCACTGCCAAACACGTAGGGAGTGCACTTGTACAGAATTGCTACCTGCTCATGGCCTGATCAGCTGTCTGCAGGATCCGGGCAAACTCGCCGACCAGCTCTGGTACGGGACCTCTAATAGGGTTGGCTGACCAGCTCTACCAACTTCGCATGGCTTGTCTCGCCTGGTAGCTGTTGTGTACTACTCAGCAGCTGTTGGCGCCTGCAGTTCTCTTGACAAGCTCGCTGATGTCCACCTCCGCCAGCTGCAACTCACGCCATCTGTCCATGCTTTTGCTGCATCTGCTAAACAGGTGAAGGTGAAGCGGGGTCTGTTGCCTCCTTCGCTGATGCAGTAAGAGTCCAGCTGGCCATTAATATTTTGCAGCCACTTGTTGACATCCCTGTCACTCTCGCGTCTGAAGTTTGGCGGCATGACCAGCTTGGGCTTGATGGTTCTTTGGACCCCTCAATCTCCATAATGGGATGGATGCGGCTGTGGCAGTTTTGCGCCTGGTAGCTGTTTAACAGTGTCAATGAGGATTATGCAATTGCCGCAACAGCTCAGACATGCGGCTGTGCAAGGCGACTATCTCATTTTGCGTTGAGCAGACTGCAAGCAGTCACTGCCTAGAGTGTATCTTCTGCTCTGTAACCCTTCTCTTGCAACACCTCACCGTTGTCTAGGCTTGATTGCCTTCACCTTCTTTGTCTTTCCCTCTAACTCTGCCTTCTCTCTCTCCAGCTCAGCCATCGTTGGGTTCTGCTCCTCTGTCTTTGCGGATGCTTCCTCGTTCCTCGCCTTATCTGCGTTCTTTGTCTGTGATATTGCCTTTTTTTGGGGCCATAGGCTATTTATAGTCTCTAGCAACTCTCGACTCTGCACACTCTCCCAACACCTTGACCGTTTTACTATTCTTTACTTCTTCAACCACGTGAGTACTCCCTACAAACAGACCAACAAAACAAGGTGTGGTCGGTCTTGGGTTGCTATGGCAATGGCATTGCACGCTGACGAATGCTGATGTGACAGCTCACCATGGGAGCTTCGATAGCTTCTTGGTGACCCACTCACACTTGATTGGAACTCGTGCACAATTGTTCCGAAATGAGTACTTCATGACTCTGCAAATGATTGGGTAGGTGTAGGGAACAAAGCAGCTATCACCTGGTTGCATCACCTGTTCCGTGCCAGTTTTTGTGTTTATAAGCTGTGCCTACTGGGGCTCATTTTAGGTGAAGAATTGCGGGGAGTTAGTCTCATGGCAGTGTTTTGGGTGGAGAGGGATGAGCTGCTGGGCTGGTTGGTGTAGCTTCGACATTGTCTTGGTGGTCATGTCTTTCGGGACGTCCGTTAAAATTGGAACGATACGGAGAAGATTAGCATGGCCCCTGGGCAAGGATGACACCCATGAATTGAGAAATGGTCCATTTTTTTTGGAAAAAAAAAAGGTACGGTACTATAATGGTAGTCATCTGGCATCTTAGGTTGAGGTGATATCTAGGCACCTCAAGGCTAAGTCGTGTGTGTCTGTTTCTTGATCTAAGGGTTTAGGTTTCAAGCTTCCCATTCCTAATTTAGTCATTCAGAGATCTTGGCTTTTTATCAGGATTTCAGTCTTTGCTCATGCCCGGTGTGTATGGTGAGAGGGTCAGGAGTGTTGAGGCCGCAAAGGCCCCAGTTATTTGCAGCCTGTCGAGTCGAGTGAGTGTATACAAGTCAAGGAGCACCATGAGCTGCAGTGTTGGACGTGTACGAAACACATTGTGCTCGCCAAGTATGACTTGGACAAGGACTGTGCTGCCAACAGAGTTGCCACTAGCGTGCGCACTATCAGTTTTCAAAGCCTACATCATCCCCTGTGCGTGCCAAAACTTTTGTGGGACAAGAGCTATACTGACTGCAGATTTGCTGCTGCTGTCAAGCTGCTAGCCATGCTGTCCGTACGTGGACAATGAGATATGACGGAGGCTGATGCATAACTCGATGCCAAACTTCAAACTCCCATCCCCCTGGAATTGTTCAATCTCCTGCAAGCCATTTGCTATTCTTGTTGTTCTTTGCCTTTAATGGCCCTTTATCCATCACTGAGTACATCTGTGTCTAGTTCATGGTATCTCAAGGGCATCCTAACAGATCATCTCATGTTTCAATGTGTATCTCATAGATGAGAGGAGGAGAGTCCTGCTGTACTGGTAAGAGTACTGATACACTTGTTGTATTCTCCTGTACTGTCTGTACATATAAATGATATGCACTGTTGTGCAGACAATTTTTCTCTGGCCAGTGTCTTCTGGAGAAACAGTGCAGACAGTTCGTCTGGCCGGTGTCTGCTCAAGAGAGCATCGCAGCCATTGACAGTTTTGCGGGGTGCATTGCATTCGGGTAACCTATAGCTGATCGGTGCTTTCTCGGCTGCTGTCCCATTCATTGCTCTGCAGGTCTCCCCGACGATTTAAAACTGTGCAGTAGGCTCAGGGGTGTTCTCTGTCTCCCACTGAGTTGCCAGGCAATTGTATGACAAGAGGTGCCATCAAGTTGGTGGCCTATCTCCTGCCCCTCTCTGCTACGGAGCTCTGCGCGATAGGTCACTGTCCTCTTTCTGCATCTAATTTTTCCTGTCCTTGACTCTGCATATTTCAGGAACGCCCACTTGACTTCTGAGATCACGTCATTGATATGTTGGTGATCTGGGGAGGATTTGTGGTTGGGATAGGTTGTGCCAGGTGATTGATCATGTTTCATCCTTCTTGGCGAATCTTTCAGTTCGCAAAGCGATGCTTTTGACACGTGTTTCATTAGCCGTTTTTAATGGTTGCTGTGTTGCCTTCTCCAAATAGCATGCGGGGCTTCTGGTGATCCTTTCCCCCTTTAAGATTCACTTATCCTTGGTAAACATTGCCGTGGATAGCGAAGAGCCTTAGAAAACCTCTGTTGGAAATTCAATCGTCAATTGTCTTTTTTAAGGTTACTTCTTCTGACTCTGGTCACAGTGTGCTTTGAAATAATAGCGCGTATCGGGACTCACACAGGCGCTGCGCTGTCTGTCCGTGCAGTTGTCTAGGCCATTAGAAGGCAATGTGATCTGACGTGAACGTCTGGTCTGAGGCTTAGCTGTAGGGAGCTTGCTTGAAGTGCCAGCAGGACCCAGCACTCCTCAGTGGTTCATTCTGTATTCTGTACAGGCTGTTTGGTGAAGAGTTTGCTCGAGGAGAAAACCCATCCTTTGTTTGATCATTCCATGTTACCCCAATCAGACAACAGGTCAAGAAAAGCTACTTGAGTCTCTGCAGTTCTGACGGAAGGTAGAACCGACTTTCCTCAAGGCACCGGTGTGAAAGCACTTTTTGATGCAGTTGTGGATGGTGGTCGATTAACCTCACGAGTCTCCACTCTGGGAATTAATCATTGTCAAGCTGTGTGTGCTGCGTACAGCTGTACACCGAGTTCACTCTGGAATCGTATTACATTCGGGATAATCATGGGAGTGATCAGCTTCCTTCGAAGCGTGGTCTTGCAGCTCTTCCTGATGGCAGCACTGGTTGCCATTCCTATGCTTTGGTACGATTCTGAGAAATCAATGCTGAACCTTGGCCTTGTCTTCACCTCATGTGGTTTCCTTTACGTCCTCCTCCCATGGAGCTTCATTCCTGACTGGGTGCCTGGTATTGGGAAAGTGGACCAGGGGACAGCCACAGCAATTCTTCTTGCCGGTGTTGGAATATGTGGGCTTGTCTTTTATGGAGAGATGCCTGTTGAAAGGGAAGCTCTGGACACAGTTTCGCCTGAGCAGCAGACTCAATGAACAAGCACGAGCTTGCAAATTTCTTCTTGCCTGGTGCGAAGAATGACATTTGCAGCAGTAGGGCAATTCTTCTGATGAAACCTAATGGGAATAGATTTTTCTCCGCGTGGAGAAGTGACGGCTAGATGCTTTTTTGGTGGTAGCTGCAGCTGTGGGTGTTTCCGAATCTCTTGGAGTCAAATGAAGGAAGGAAGGAGAACTTTTGCTCCCAAGCGTTGTTCTAGTGGGTCCTCATCACTTTCTTCTTGGGTCTTTAGGTTGTTCATAGGATGCAGGCTAGCATGAACTGACGGGAGAGGAAGGCCACACACGGATACGTACATGCTATCGACGAAGGATATTTTGTTATTCCTCTGAGATCATTTTTCAAGGTTGCCTTCTTGTGATCTTGCATCCATTGGATGCATTGATATGGACTTAATAAATAACTGCTCAGGAATCATGTGCAAGACCAGCTGTCATGGCATATATATCGGATGTTTGTTTTATCTGAATGAATCGAGTTGAAAGCTGTGTCTTGCTATGCATTGACACTTCGAGTCTGCTATGCAATATGCATTGGTGAGACTGCAGAGAAGTCCGGATAGCAAGCGTGACGTGAGAGGAACTGCATATGCACCGTGGGCTGGGTGTACTATGACAGTTTGCTACTGGAACTGTGGGCCCAGAGCAATTCATTTGTGCGCTCAGTCTCGTGTCCTTTGTTTTTTTGGTGGGGGCAAGTAACATTGATGTCACTTTCGAGTATCGAATTAGCAAAACCAACATGCGCCAGCAAAGGAAACAGGCGCCAAGTGGTTTAAGCATGAGCTGCCTGCACCGCGGTTTGACATAAATGCTCACTCACAAGATGTGCAAAAGAGGCGAAGTACAGGGAGAGGTGATAGAGAGGGAGGAGTAATGGAGCAAAGCAAAGGAAGACAAAGGGAAATTGCATGAAATAAAGATGAGAGCAATTTATCTCCACTGCCAACCGGTGCGTTTTCGTTTCTGGCCAGCACTGCCCGCCATTTAGCTCTTATAGACCGTGCCCTGGAAGTCGCATTGTGTGCACGGCCGTGTCGGAGAAAATTGGCTGGGAAACGTGCTGGTGGCTTAACTACGTCAATGTGTGAGGATTTACCCCTCGGCATACCAGCATAAGGCCCCCGGCAGCAAACACGTGCCCGCCCTGGTTGAAGGCGGGCCCCTGAATTTCAATGAGCCCTGAATTCGCCAATTTTTGGTAATCTTGTTGGGGCGCCAGACAGTTGCCACGCACCAGTTGGTTACATCCGCCTTGCTCAAGCGAATCCGAAATATTTGTGAGCCTTCCAGGCTCTTCCGGCAATGTGGTGAAAGCAGGGTACACTGCACGTTTGTGCCTGGGTGGTTGGGCTTGCCTAACCAATTCGGTCCCAGGCCACTGTCTGAACTGGCCTGGGCGCAGACACTTTGGCCGAGACTGAAGCTACTGGAAACTCGTTCTCACGGGGCAAGCAAGTGGCAACAAGCCAGCCACTTTCCATATAGGAGAGGGCCGGGCTCTGTAGTGATAGGAAATACCATCAAAGCAAACAAGGCAAACAGACATAAAGTCTGCAAAATGCATGAACAGGACAAGACGAAAGCAGAAGGTACAAGAAGAGATAATAGAACCCCCGAGCGCAATCATGCCTCGTATGATTTCCAATAAACACAATAACAGAAAGACGACGACAAGCACCGTAACAGGAAAAGCTCAAGTTGGCGAAAATTCCCAGTGTTGCGCACTTGAGCGCGGTCACATCGGGAAGAGGGCGTTGGGAGAAGCTGGTCGGGGGTCGTCGGCACCCTGCGCAAAGAAAAAAAAAAAAAAAAATTTTTTTTTTGGGTCCAGAACCCCTAATAACCCAC